GTATATCTGTATATACTATACCTGTATCTCTATTTGTAACTTTTCCAACTGCAGTGTTGTGGTGATTGGTGACCTGTACTGTACTTGTGTTCACAGGCCCGCAGCGCCAGTACAAGTAGCTTTAGAAGCCTGAGCCAGGTACATAACAAAAATTGACATAATCCACATAGCTGAGGAACTAGTAATACTAGCTATTACTTAGCCAGACATACATATAGCTAGATACTTAGAACCATTTAGAGAGTCTACGTGTTATTATTATACATGCTCGTGCGTAGATGCGTAGAGCACGATCGTTTCTCGCGTTCCAATGTTCCGGGGGAACACGAAAACCAGATGGTTCTACCGCGATATATTATGAACATGATTGCCACACACCATTAGCATTGTAACACCAAACGTAGAGGGAGGGGGGCGGCCGACCCTCGGTTAATCGAACGACGTTGTGTCGCGAAACAATACGGAAACAGCAGAGGCTCGGCCACCGATATCATTCAGCTCGAGACCCCTCTTTAGCCGAAGGAAAGTGAAAACGTTAGCGCGCGCACGATCGGTGCATGCACGCCTGTCGGTTCTCGCCGACACGCGAAAACGCCGGAATGTTGAATGAGGCATGCCATCCACACGCACAACCCTCTGTGATATCGCCTACCCGAGTCTAGTAGAAACTTTGCATGCTTGTTTCTCCGCCTGTGTCTTACCTTAGATCACTCTGTTCGTGCATCCCTATCTTTCTCTTTCAAATCACCATCTTCTTCTTCTTCATCTTACTTTTCTTCATCTTATCGACACAGTTCGCAGTGATTCTCACGCGAGGACCCAGAGTAAGTACACCGTAAGAGGAGACCTTCCTTGCGGGGGATTGGTTCTTCTATCTAGGAACAACTTTCCAGACTTGCCGCAAATTGCGCAAGGTGTACAACTCTCGAAAGTTGCTCGACATCGTTATTTAAATGTTATTGGGTCTGATGTCCTCCTGGAAACCGAGTCGGTACAGTAAATTATCAATGAGTGTTCGAAGGTTCCTGTACATTAAGTGGTCTGTCGTTATCCCCACGACTGGGGGGACCCCATGAAACCAGTCAAGCGCCCAGTAGTGGGGTTGACCACTGACCACTTAGTGTAGAGGTGCCTTCGAACACTCATCGATGGTTTACTGCAATTCTCGAACGAAAAGAATCGTGTTCGATCGCCAGCTTTTAATATCAAGAGAAACAACCGCGAGAGTAATTCGGAAAATCGGGGCAACCGATACCAGTCGTAATTAAGGCACGCGGAGATCTTTTTCCAAAAGACTCTCGTGACCCTCTTAGAACGATTTAACCAGCTGAACAAAGAAACCCTAGGCGTAAAGAGTGTTCGCGCGGATCGAGGCTCTGCGCCTCGTAATTTATTCCCATCTCGACTTTCAGTCAATGTTTCCTTCGCCCGCAGCGGTTCCCCGCGGCTTTGCATATTAATTACCGCGAGGCCGGTCCGCCTCGGGCTGTTTAAACGGTAAAATCGTTTTATCGCGAACAGTACTGGACTGCAATGCGAGCGTCGAGGTGTGTCGTGTCACGGCTGAGCTTTTCGTCGCGAAACGAACGGGCCTTGACTATATTCTCATTTAAGGGTAAAAGGTTTCTCGATGCCTGTGTTCTTTAACGCGCACAAAGCCTCTATTCTCTGAGTTTCAATAGTGGACGTGATATAAACGGATCCGTTCTCGATGCAAGAGAAATAATAGTCGCGGGTACGCGGAGCCATCGATACTCCCAGCTGCGTCGCGAGTTTCGTTCGTGGACGGTCGATCAATCGGTTCCGGTGAGCCGGGAGAAGGACGGAATTCCTCTCCTCGCCCGACAAAATATATACAGGGTGAAACAGAAAAAGGGGTTCGTAACTTCTGGGGTAGATAGTACTCGCCAAATGATGAATAAATGTCCTGAGTCGGAAAAATTAATATTTTCAATGTTACAAACCCTTTTTTGTGTCACCCTGTATAATACGAGCACGCGTCGCTACTTCTAGGCGGGATCCATTTTCGGAAGATAGTTCAGGGAGCCTCTGTGTCGGAAACAAACCAGCCGAAAAGGCGGCCGAATCGTGGATTAAGGAGACGAAAATCCGGGTGAATGGCATCTTAGGCCCTCGTTCGGAGAGCACCCTTCTGACGAGAGTAATCGTTGGATATAAAAGCAATAGCAGGAGACGTATAGAGACGACGGCGGAGAGAGAGAGCCTTTGAATGTAGTGGGGAAAGCAGTAAGTTCGGGTTGAGGATGGTTCGGGTTGAGGACGACGATCGATAGCCCCGGCTGCACCCTTCTCCTCGGTGTGTCTTATCGCGGTCGTTGGTTTAATCATTAATCGTATCAAACCGTTTCTAGATCCTGTGTCGTAAGTGCAGTGACACGGTCCAAGCTGACGATTTTTTAACATTTATTCGGTAACTTCTCTACTATCGTTCCTCATCGAGAAGCTTCAGAAATACCCGCGATATTTGCTCGGCCTTCGTTGACCTTGATTCCTCGGTCAACTCTGGAAGGCTCGTGATATCGCTGGAGAACTCCTCGCTTCGAATTGTTTCAAAGTTGCCTCGCTGCTCCTCACGATACTCCCCGACAATATATCCATCGGTTTGCCACCTGATCCCCGGTCCAGTACGAATCATCTTTCTCCGTGGACTATATTGGATATCCGTCATTCGTGTCGGCGCCCGATGAAATTCAATCGTTGCCACCTGCTACGGTCCTCCCCATCGAGATACTTGTCGGCACGTTATGCTCGGCCTTGTTCGCCTCCATTCCGACGAACTTCGCGGACAGAAACGCGCTAAGGGTTTCTAAGAATGCTTCGTTGGACGGCGACAAACTCGCTGGTACCAAGGTGAAGCGGAAACGTAACGCGGAACAACGCCACGGGTATAAAGACGAACAATCCAGGTCGCAATTATCGTAATTGCTCTTCAGGGGTATATACGCGTTCCCTTTTGTTTCCTCTGGTAACAAGTCATACACCAGCCTTTCCCAGTGGAACACGTTCTCGGCAATTTTCCCTCTAGTGCGTCCGTTTTTCAGACGGTGACCTCGAGCATACGGATAGGCATTGAAAACAGGGGAAAATTCTTCGAACGAACACCCCGTAATATTCTTGCTCGGTTAGGAATACAGAACACAGGTCCTCCTGCGAATTCTGGGTAACCATTTTACAATGTATCAATTCCCCCCGTTCACCAAATGGGCTATAGCTTTTCAAGGGCGGATGCAGTCGGCCCCAATTATTGATCCTTTGGAAGCGGCTTCCGGATCCCGCTCGCAAACACTCGGACAAAACTTGAGTGGGTGAAACGGCCAGGACCAAGCCTGGAGCCATGGTCGAAGTGGAGAGAGAGAGAGCAGGGAAGCTAGGAAAAGGGATGGACGGAAGGAAGGAAGAGGAGATGGCGAGGGGTACAAGCCCAAAAGCGGAGCACGACAGATGGGGTGGTCGAGGGTGTTCCTGGGCGTTCTCACAGAATTTCGTCGGGTCTAGCCTTATCTTTCTCTCTCTTTCTCTCTCTCTCTCTCGTTTTCCCTTCGACCGATCTTTCAGTGGACAGTTCCAGCTTTGAGGATTCAGGACTGATTGGCTGGAACCGGTCTTTCATGGATGAAGCTATTGTCGAGGTTGTGTCTTGGCTGGGTAATACCCAGGGCCCTTCAATAGAAAGTTGTTAGAGACACGGTAATCCCTCTTGTTATGCATGCAGCCTTTGGAAATATTAATGACGCAAGAGGTCCTATTCCACTTCCTGTAAGCGGTCGCACGAATGATAATTTACGATCATCCGCGGCTTTAACAGCTAGCTAGGAATGGAAGCGTATAAGTCAAGCGGTCGCGTATTGTGGTGTATCTTTAGGTCTCGGTTCACACTCCGACACGCTAGAGACCTTAGCCTCCGGGGTTACAGGCATTGTTCACTCGCGAGTAGAAACATTGAATCCCGGAAAGAGAAGGTATTTTGCTGAATTTACGTATCGTTTAATCTGCAATTCAATTTTTATGCAAATAAACTAATAAAGTTTACTACGCTCATAACCTAATTATAGACAAATACTTTTATATAAACAATAATATGTAAGAGTACAGAAATATTTTGATGAAATATTAATGGATATTTGTCACTTTAACTAACCTCATAGAATTCTAAATTTTATGTGCCTTACACTGAAATATAATTAAAATTTGTATATTAATAGATAAAGTTTAACCAAAACTTTATAATTATCGATCAAGTGCTAAACTTTAGTATCATATTTATCACCGCTATTCTATCATCAACAATGCGCGAATTATCTTAACCAGGTAATTGGATTCTCGGAATCGAATTTTCATCGAACTATATCGATCATGTGTATCGTCTCTGGTAAAGCGATCGTTCCAACGGTTACGTTTTGTTCATCGGTAGTTATACAAGTTTCAGCTAAGCGATATCAACCGTCTATAGCCCCGTCTGATGTATGCACATTGCAAAGCCATAAAGCACGAGATAGCCTCGAACCTTGCAAGCGCGCGAGTCGATGCCCGCGGTTGATCGAATGAGTGGCCTTCACGGAATCGGAACACGTGTCCCTTCATTGCACGCTCAGCGATTTGCTCGCCCTCCCTCGAGATCCTTGATTAATATCCCACACAACTTTCCCGGTTTCGAGAGAGGACAGGGAATTATTAGGCGGGCGATCGATGCAACTGTTGGGAAAACTTGGACAACGAATACCACCGTGTCCACTTCGTGGTATCGTGAAAATTCCGATTCGAAAGGTTGCTCAGCTTCCGACGGCTGGAGATAAAAACGTTATCGTCGATTCTTCACGCGACCCATGGAAAGAATAATGGTCATCGTTCACCAATTCCAGTACGGCACCCATGATTTACGTCAAACGGGCCCTCGATCGATGATCGTTAATCTCAGACTCTTTGGAAATGAAACGACGCTCGTGTACGATCGTTAGAGATGACGTTTAATTCGAGTACTTAATTAAAGATGTTGTTACAGGATGGTGGAAAGAAATGTACAGATGAAATGAAGGACGGTTAATAATGCCTCTTCTATCCTTTTCCGAAGCATTGAGCTGTTCGAAGCCTTTTCGTGGAGGTTCGACCGTAGCAGCGTCGTCGAAAGGAAATGCAAGCTGCCTTCTCGCGTCGGACGTGTTACAGCCTCTCGCGATCAGTCTCCGGTCATCATTTCCATGAACTCTGTAAAATAGAAATCGATCAAATTAATGGATACGATTGCTCGATTGGGATGTCTTCCCCCCAACATCCTTGTCATCGAAAGGATCACGATCATAAAGATTTTTCCAAGAGACCCTTTTCATCTGGTTGTTGTACGCGACGAATGTTTCTCCTGGAAAGTAACTAGGTCGTATCCTTGCCTCTTTACACAACCTTCCCCCGAGTTTTTGAAAGGAGCTTTGAAAGACCGGTATATTAAGACGTTCGAGGTTTAATCAAGCCCTCGTACGGGCTGCTGTAACGAGCTCTGTAGATCCAAAGCCAATGAAACAGTTCGTATTGTAACTTTTTTTCGCCGTCGAAATTATTCGTGTAACTACAATGTACCATGACAGTTATTATTATTCGAGTCCGTAGACATCTATAAAATTTATAGAAAAAAGGACTGTATAGAGGCCAACTGTTTCCATTCAGAAAACGGAAGAGGATTCTCACCGTCAAAGTCAACGGTGCCGGATCCGTCGGTATCGATTTCAGCGATCATCCCGTCCATTTGATCGGGCGTTATCTGATCGTCCAGAGCGGCGAGGATCTCGCGCAGAGAGCTCGTCGGGATATAGCCGTTGCCTTCTTTGTCGTATAGCCTGAAAGCCTCCTTGAGTTCCTTCTGCAAAGCCTCGTCGTCCTCCTCTTGGAAGTGGGAGGCCACCCGGTAGAACGAGTCGAAATTTAATTTACCGTTACCTGGAAAGTTAGACGAGTCACGATTAAAAATCACTTTTCAAACTCGCACTTTCAGCCTATTATCCGTTTCCCTTTCGCGGTCATTTTTTGTCGATGGTAAAACATTCGAGGCAACATACTTGGGAGTCTTCCAAGCGGTTCCGTTTACGCAAGTCACGGGGAAGAAATTTGTAAGTTACCAGGGACAAGAAAAAGTTTCGTTTCGTTTGTTCTACGAATCACATGGTCTCAAGCTCGCAGTTTGCATTTCTATTGTAAATTACAAGACCAGCAGGGCTCTTTTATTATCAAGTTACCAGCGGTTTGCGGGAAACCCTCGGTGCTCTGTACACGTTCCAGTAAGTCGAAGCTGTAGGAAAGCAAGCAACACTCCGCGGAAGTTCTTAACCGACGTAAAATTAATTCTCAGCCCACGTCGTAATCTCGTCGAGAACTAGAGAGAAGAACTGGGAAATTTTACGGCTACCAGGATTAATAACCACACCGAGCAACCACTCGTTCCTGGTGGAGTGGCCTATGCTCTCGAAATAACGAATGGGACCCTGTTTAATCTTCTTAGCGGATATGGCCATGGAGACTCTTTGAAGAAGGCAACGTTTGACGCGCGACTCGTACCACGGAGGGGATGGTTTTTGCAGTCGATACACAGGGAACGATGGAATACGAGAAAGTAGGTGCTGCTAAAGGAGCCTCCGCCTCGACCCAATTCTTTTTCACGGTGAAAAGAGGAGTCCACGACGGATCTCGACCGACGATATCTTCGTAGAGATCCTGAAACTAGCGACGGTTTTTTTTTTCACGAAGGCCAAGTCAAAGAACATCTCGACGATATCGATATCTCGTAATTCTGCAGTTGTCCATCGATAGAGAGGAAAATCGGTGGGACGTGTACAGGGGACGTTGAGTTACAACTAAGTTTCCTTATAGTTCGATCGTGAATTGTTTCTCTTCGTCGGGTTTTAAAATGCAATTCCATCGGTATATCCGATCCCCCTGGAAACACAGTAATAGGCGGCAACAATTGGGTACGGCCGATGGGTATTAAAATCGATCGGAATGAAAGTTTCGCGGCACGACGACGGAGCCACCGTCGACTGGGAAAGTTTAGAAAAGTTTTCGCGACAATCGTCGTTCGGCTTCCATTTCTTCCATACATGTGTCCACACTGCGATTCAGTTGGTTTATATCTATGAATTATTTGGCCCCATTCGGCCGAACAAAGCCATCGATCGACGAAACCGTCCGTCATCGACCCGAAAATTACGCTAGAAAACCCCGCGGATAGCTCAAGGACAATCAAGGGTTAACGATTGAAAGGAAAACTGAGAATACTATTACCTTCCTCGTCCTCTTGTTTGAGAACCACCTCCAGCTCGTGATCATCGAAAGTGTGCCCCAGGGTGTTCAAGATCGTTCTCACTTTTTCCTTCTCGATGCTGCCCGACTTGGTCGAGTCGAACATGGAGAAAGCCCTCCTGAGCACTGTAAAACACACACGGAATAGGAATATCGACTCGGAAGCTTGATCTTCACCAATTTCGTTTTCTTAAATGCCCCATAGACGATAGATAGGATTTTTCTTACAACTGATCGTACAAACTACACTACCGACCATAAGTATCCGGACACAGTACATTGTCGATACTAGATTATCACTATTTTCCAATAAATAAGATTATCATTTCTGTTACTATTTACCGAAGAGAATATCTTTCTCGTTTCAGTACTTGAAATAAATTTACTAAGTGGTAAGAGACTTTTCTTCTACGCCACTTTTTCCCTCAGGGGAAAAAGGGCCTTCTACAATTTCAATTCGAAAGTTTCTGAAATTTATGCAAAATTAACATGCATCTTAACATTTATTTCAGTGCTTGAAATAGATTTACCAAGTGGTATGGCGGCCCTTCTCCTACGTCACTTTTTCTCCTAGTTGAAGCCGAGTTTGCACGTCAGTGTACAAGCATATCATAAGCGGAAAATTTTCCGTGAAATCGTGACGCGTGTGCTCGGAACGCATCGCGTCGGTCCGGTATTTATTTACACGCTGTGTGCCAGAGCGCTGCGTGTGTATTAATATAACGCCGCCCAGTCAATCAGCGGTTTATTTTGCGATAGGAAGCCGGTTTGCGCAACCCGCGCCGCGTAGGAACGCGGCTGTACCGTTCCGTATATCGTGAAACAGACGCGTGGGCAGACTCTCGAGGATTGGTGGGTGTAAAGAGCCGGTTCTCAAAGAAATTTCACGAAGGAACGTCCCGTCTCGAGCCCGTTGTTCGCAAAAAAAAAAAAAAAACCGATTCGTTTCCACGCTATACGATTTTGCAAGGGATTCGTGATCGCGTCTGGCCACGATGCGACGAAAAATCTTAATGAGTGACTTTAAGTTCGTGGATCACCGTCGAAAAAGCATCACTTCGGAGTCTGGCGACGTTAAAGTACACATATCGGTCGCGACCTATATTTCAAACACTCCGCGACCTTCCGTTCGACGAATAAACCATTATACTTGTTGACGCGACCCAGTGAAATACGGATGCACCGTACGGCCGAGGACAGTATCTATTTGCACGCCGTACAGAATTCCGATCCGCGTCGTTTCCCCCGATTAAGATATTCCGGGGAAAGCTTGAACTTCGCTGGTGTTCACTTACTTTTCACTTGTTCCTCGTCCTGAAACAGAAAAGAAAAAACGAACCTTCATTTCCAAATGCTTCTTCGTGGTACCTATACGAGGTAGATGATACAGAAACGAATAAGCGAAAACAGTTTTTATCGACTGGGATTCACTGGTGAAAACGACAGAGTTCCCGCGGTAACGAGGTCCCGATGGGAGGCGACCGTGATTCAATTCCTCAGTCTGTCAATTTATTCTCCGATATGGACAAAAAAAAAAAAAAAAAGAAGAATCGATCGATAGAGATTGTTGGCCGTGCTCCAAAACCGTTCCGGAGGGGCCCGGTTCTGTCGGGTTTCGAAGCGAAGCCTCCAATTAACGCGTTCTCCATGCGACAAACGTCACACGGCCAGGAGAGGAGGACCGATTGGGGTTCGACACTCGATTACTACAAAGAGGGAACTAACCATCTTCCGGCTTTATCTGCCGAGGATCCTCGACGCTATATGCCTCTTCGTTCTCTTCGCACTAATGGCTTATCCGCACTGGATATATCTTTTATAAGCTCAGCTAGAAACGCGCGCATGGAAGGGGAGGAGAAGCACGTCTCATCCCTTCCTGCGAGAGCTGTCGAAATTCACAGCTTCTTCTCAGCAACGTCAGGCGACGGCGACGCCAGTTCACGCTGCTATAATGCTACGGTTCTCTCTCCGTGTAAACGGTTAACCAACTCGATTCTCGAGTTCCCAAGGTCTGGTCTATTAGCCACGAAATCTTCCATAAACTTCTTTGATCATCCAAAGGATAAAAAAAAAAAAAACTCACATGGAACCGAGTTATCGCTGTTTCGTATAGGAATTAGGAACACTTATGTCCAATCGAGACACGTTTATGTCGCGAATCGTGTGTATACTCGAAGTCTTCTGCATCATTCGAGCCACTCGTATAGATCGACTAGACAAATTCCAGTCGCCACAGTGTTTTTTCTATTCCCGTGGGATTTATAGAGTGCAGGCGGAAACTGTGGAAAGAGGGTCCGATGCATTACGCAACAGAATATTACTTAAGTAAATTTCGCCGTTATGTGGCCGTTTTCTACGTGAGGCCACGGGACAGCCTGCCAAAAACTTTGTGGGAAAAGCAATAAAATTTTCATACACCGCGGTCGTAGGAGGCGTCCGAGAGAACAGAACGCGAGCGGGCGGCAGCGAAGACGGTGAAAGAAGTGGGGATGGTGCTATTTCAAAACATTCCAGACTATGATACTACTGGTTTCCATTCAACCACCACATCGTTCGGGTCCAATAGTAATATCGCCGATTCTTTTTTATCGGTCGACGAGAAACTTAATATCCCCCCGTGCTCGCGGAATTCGTAGAAATTCCTTTGCGAACAAAGGAGTTTCGGCTGAATAAGATTGATCGGTGACTATTCGAGAGAAATGAGAAATTATCTCGAATCACCTAGTGAACGGACGATTCTGAGAGTTTCATTGCAGGTTCTCGTTTCCCGATGTGTAACCCTGTAATTCAGTGTTTCCCAACCTTTTTTGGATCATACTCGATCCAAACGCCTCAAAGATCTCGATGCCCCCTAGCCATAATAGTAAACCATGCTCTGAAAAAAAAGGGATTTGCTTCAAATAAAAAAAAGGACATAGGAAAAATTGTTGTCGATAAGAAGATTAATGTCGACAATTTGTTAATTGCTCCACAAAATATTTAAATTACCCCTCAGTGGAGGGTACGTCTCACGTATTGGGGCACACTAGTGTAATCCGATGCAACGTGGGGTAACGGAAAGATTCACGTTTGCACCGGTACAGCGCCTTGTCCAGATTAAACGGTTGCAAAGTGCAGTTCTTAGCGCAGTTTTTTAGGGTACCGCCGTGTGATACAGTGCTTTTCGTAAGAACGCGGTAGACGACGGCAAACGCGCTATAATTATCTCGTCAGTTCCGCCCACGCGGCTCATACCCGCCTCTCTTCGCTGAATTATTATTTGAATAAACCCGTGATATATTTAGAACGTCCAATACCAATTGTGTACCTCATGAGTCATTCTATATTTAAACGAAACGTCTACCTTGCCGGGGTAATTGGGCAGACGGTCGACGAACTGTTTTCCGTTCACCCTCGGTTCCCTTCGATCGCTATCAGTCACGAGCAGTCTTCGTCGAAGCTGCTCTTTCGTCGCGACGGAATCAGAAAGTTCTCGACTGGCCACTGAAACCCAATCTCTCCGTTTGAATTTCCTAGCTTCGATCGTTCGTCTTCGAATTCGAAGAGAGTGGTTCGTGTCGCGTGCAACGTGCGTCTTTTTCTCATCGGATTTGTTATCGAAGTATCTTTCCTGGTCTCGATAGTCGATTTTTCGGCCTGACCAGCAGTTTGTATCAACTAACTGAATTTATCCGCGCGCGATAGGCATCCAGGCCATTGGAATCCGGATCCGTTTCCAGAGATTCGTATCTCCGCGATTCTCTGTCGCGGTTCACAGAGTTCCTCCCATCGATTTACACCGCGACAACGACGATATTCGATTTACAAATTCGGCCTGCATCGATCGCCCCATTCAGGACTTTCCCAGAAAATTTTCAATCGGAATCGACCCCGCGTCGATCATCCCGAGCGTCTCGTTTCTCTTTTCTTCTCTCGTGCGCACACTCACGATCGTCATTCGCGAATCCAGGTTAACCGTCGCATTGGGAATTGTTTAATCGAGAAATTGCGGGAAAGTTTCCGTGGCCCAGGTCGTTTCATTGCTTTGCAGCTAGAACCGTTCGCCCCGAATAAGTTCGTCGCCGGTGTCTCGCGAAAGAAAAAAAAAAAGAAAACGAGCCGAGGAGATGTGGATGTCGTTGTTGATCGTCGAGGTACGTAGATTGATTCCTGTAATAAAACGGACAGCGAAAAAAAAAAAGAAAAAGAAAAGACAATAGGATACGGTGGCGGGCAACGAGAGTAAAATCTCGGAACTTACCGGAGCATCATTCCACGGCTGTGTCATTAGCAGAAACTTGCGAACAATGCCCAACGCGATGCATCCCGGCCTCGAAATGTTTATTCGACGCTCGCCTGCGGATTCTCTCGACTCGTAATTAAAGGTATTGTTCGTCCTTGTGACCTTAGATTTTTATCCCGTCAGGAGAGAGAGAGAAAAAAAAGAAACGAATTTTTGTCCCGGTAAAAAAGATAGGCGTTGTCCTCGACCAGAGAGGAGACGCTTCGTTTGTTTTTTGTCTGAAGCTCGTTTCTCGTTAGCGTGTGGCCTATGCACATTTTTTTTTCCTCCGTTCATGATGCAATAGCTCCGAGAAAAAATATCGGTGAACCTTTCCTCGATTGAAAAACTCTTCGCGGGAATCTAGAGGCGAAATTGTTCGGTGAAACGAATAGTTACAAAACGTGGACAGAAGGTTGGAACCGATTGTCGATCAAGGTTTTCGCTGTCTGGCAATTTCAAAGACAAACAATAGATTTCGTATAGTTGGAATGTGTATGTATACAGGGTGAGTCAACTAAGCTTTTCATCTAAAATATCTCCGTTGTTTCTAGTGATACGAGAAAATTTATAAGGAAAAATAATGTTTGCTTGGACAATTATTGTAATACAGAGAATTTTTTTCTCAAGGTCATGTTTTCCGATATTTCAAGGTCATCGTCGTTTTTTAAAATAGGATAAAATATTGTTATCACCCTGTATATAATTGCGTCCAGTTCAGTTTTGGGGTAAAGGAATAAGAGAAAAAAAAATTCGATTTATTAAAGAGTCGGGCAACAACGAGTATGGCCGCGTAACTTCGAATGCACACAGATAGATAGAGCAGATAGAGAAACATACGATATCGATGCTCACTTTGCCTGGCTTCTGGCCGTGCTCGTAAATCTAGGCGAACTTTTTCCCTCGGGTAAACGCGCAAACGGCTAACGATCGTCTTCGAGAACGTCTCCCGGAGTCGTAGATCACCGGTTCGAACCAGACCGCCGTCTATTGAATATTTCGTAGCCTGGTGACGTCTCGCGTTCACTGCAGTCCAGTCTGAGGGAAAGTCCAATGAAAATCGGGGTCAAAGAAGAAATTGGTTACTCTCGTTAAACCGCGGTGCAATGCCGCTGACAGTGGCGGGAAGGATGAAAGAAACTGTCGGTTAAACACTGTGGTATTTTTCGCTGCATTTTTAATCGGTGCACGGTCGAAATGGATATTCAATTTCCATTCGCCGTTCGCTTCGATTATATCGGGAGCTTCCATTGAATCCGTGTATCGCGCGGAAAACCATCGAATACGTTCCGGTGCAATTATCTCGGAGGGGATTATCGATCGTCGGGTAATTTAACCGATGTTCTTTTTCTGCAATAACAGGCTCGCAACAAACCAGCGGACGGTGTAGGCCACGTGAACCAGAAGGGCTCCGCGGGTCAAAAGGCGCCGCTCGCGACTGGACAGAAGGTTGCACCTGGCGCTAAAGTCGCGGCGAAACCGGCACAAAAACCTTCCGCTCAAAAGGGACAGGTTAAAGTTACGCCCAAGGCGGTGTCCGTCAAGACTGGCAAGAACAAAAAGAAGGGGCAACGGCAGCAGTACGATCTCATTGTTACTATCAATTTGGTGAGTACGATCACGCTTCCCTTCGCGAGTCAATTCTACTCGCAGTAGATTCGTACGCGCCTGGTCAGACACGCGGTAATTAAACCCCTTGCTCTATAACGTCGAGTCAGACTCGCGTTGACGATTTCAAAATCGATACAACATAGAAGAATATATACAGAGTCGAAGTGAAATGCCAAATTGCTGGTATTAATATTTAACTTGTAATATAAAAATATAGTTGCGATAGGTACAGAATTCCTTTCGTTTCTGAGATAGTATCGACAACAATGTAATCGTAGAATCTGCAGACGTCAAGGAAATCGTAGGGCAAGGGGTTAACACGTTGACTGCCACAGTAAAAAGTAACCGTACGTAGCCGGACACACTTTACTTCGTTTTTTTTCAGTCATAAATCGCTGAAAGTATATGGGTTTAGTTAATGGAGGCTATTGGTCTTGTTTGAAATTATACCACGATATTAATTATACGCGAAACTTTGTAAGGGTATTTAAATAATCTAGCCTTCTTTGCAATATACGTGTCACCCATATTTGGATGACGTGCAAGTTAACTCGTTAAACTGAATAACATTTGACTCGTTCTACAGCACTTGCGCAGTCGGAAAGTAAATTTCCTAGATTCTCCATTCACCTTTTCGTTCGTCTACTGTTCCTGACTATAATACCGACTAAACCAAGCGCAGTAGAAACCGTCGCTCGTGGTCAGACGATTCTGGCCCAGGCGGTGCCTTCTCCATTAGATGGTAGCACATGTCTGAAAAAGCATTTGATCCAACAAGCACAATACCATCTCGTGATCCAATCTTCTACACAAGTAGATATTCATTGTAAACGAGTTCAATTAGAAAAGACATCCTAGTCGCTTAACCTCCGCGAATGTCGTAAGCAAAGGTTAATTTGCCGGCGCGACAGTCACGACAAAATCGAAACGAGCTCTCCATTACCCAGATTATCCCCGTGCAGTGTTTCCTCCAAGTGTACAAATCTCGATATTTAAATCGGTATCAGATGTTCGTATAAATAACCGATTCCCCGCGATCGCAACGAAGAAATTCACGTACGAGCGACACGTACGACGAAAAACCGGGTCAGGATGACCGTGATTTTTCGTCGCGACGCTCCACAAATAGCTTCAGACCACTTCACCTTCTCGTCGAAGAATCGATGCTCTCGTCCCGATGAAAACAAACATTCTTTTCCATCTCCTGCCGATCGAGTGTCCCGTCCATATTGTTTTACCAAAATGAACACACTGTTCTATCGACGACCAGACGGTTCAAGAAACTTGATTCTAGTCTGGGATCACGTCCCAAACGGAGACACAGGTGCAATAATAAATTCGCCTAAAGTTAGGCACGCTGAAAATATTTCTCGCGACGGTACTCTGCGTAATCGTGCAGTCGATGTCCGGCTAAATCATTCGTGTGACGGTGGTTGATTCAGAACATTAACGGCGAGTCGCAGCATTCCTCAGAGATCGTTTTCAAGGTAACATTTACTCGAAACAGTTAAAGAGAGAGAGAGAGAGAGAGATAGAGCCAGGTACAGTGTAGAGAATAGTTGGAATCGTAAGGGGCCAGCGCTTTTCGACAACGATTACTATGTACCGTGTTCTATGTGTCACGAAATGCACGGCATTTGGCAAAGGGAATCGCCGGCGGGAAGGCATTGCCGTTAAACAAACAGAATGAGAGGCGAAAAACGACAGAGCAAGAGATAGAGATAGTGAGAGATAGAGAGAGAGAGGGAAGTAAATAAAGAGAAGATTGCCAGCCAATCGTCGGGGACCACTGACAAGTTAAAAACAGCCGAAGGTTGTCTAAAGATTCGCGCCCGCTTTCATGTTCGCTCCAATAATACGCGACACGGTACGGATAACCACCCGCCGGAGTGTCGCGAACGGTTCCTTTTTCCCTTCGTTATGGATCACAATCGGTTCCCTTTTCCTTTTGTTATCGGTCACGACCGGGCCCCCCGATAGGGGATCTTTGACTTTCCTCGGGTGATTTACGGAAAGTTCGTGTAATGATTTTTTGCGGGAACGTCCTGAACGGTGGTTGACAGTTACGCGTGATTGAAAAAAGGGAGGGGGAATAGAATCAGAATGAACTGGTCGAGGACCCGTCGCCACAAACAACCGGTGACGTTGCCGCTCGCTAGTCCATAAATATTATTTGTGTTCGGTGCCTGTTGTCGCGTTGGTGCGTTTCGCGTGTGTGCTAAGCAGCGGAGGAGAGATCCGTCGGTGCCGGTCGAGAAAGGCTCCTCTGTGCTTAAAAAGTAAAAGCGAGATTAAAAGGTGTTGTACGTCCCGCCACTAGAGCAACGAAGTATTGTTGTACGCTATAACCCGTTCTCGAGGAGGCAAATGTAAATTTAAAAAGTGTCCCGCCGTGGAACGAAGTGTACCGTACGGAGGTGGTGTTAGTGGTTAATCGGTGTGAAAAACACGGGGGTGGTTCGCGTTGCTCGAGATGACAGACACTGAGAAAAAATACACAACCGCGTACGGAAAGCTGCGGAGATTAACGAGCACCATAGACGGCCAGATCCGACAGAGAAGCGTGAGTGAGGAAATTTTCGAATCGTGGTTAATATTAATTCGATGGTAGGGAACGTGTGACAGTGATTGCGCGTGTTTGAATTCAACGAGATGTCGGGGAGTAAGGATATAAATCTATAAAATTTAAATGCTGTGAATGTCCGCATTTCTGCTCATGAAAAATGTAAATAATGATAAATAACAAATAAAATACCTTCGAATCGTGGCACAAACAACTAGAACACGATCAAGAAAGACGAGGTTCTTGTTTTACAATTTTTTAAACATTTTTTTTTAACAAAACACACTCGCGTAAATGTTCAAATAATTCAGAATTATTTTGTTAGTATGCACGTAACATTTATAATAGTAAGAAAAATAGGAAATGAGAATTGGAGCATTTACCTTGAACGTATAAAAATACAATCAGGCATTTCAATCTATTCTACCCTACTTTCTACAGATCCAGGTACAATGACACCGATACAATAGCCAGAACAAGCAATCTAGCCAACAAATTTAATAACCAAATTGAATTTGTCTCAGAATAAATAAGATCGAAACTTGCATCTACCGAATACTGCGAGAATAACATGTATAAAACTACTATAAGATATTTTTGTAAACTTTCGTATAAAATGGGCTTTCCCGTTAATGGTGATAAATTAAAATTAAAAAATGCTAGCGCGGACATGTAGCAAGTAGTAGATCTCGTGAAGCCTGGCTGACTTTCCGCGAGTTTATGCGACCGGTTCTTGGGGAACGTTGGAAAACTACGTGACCCAGTTGAATACCGAACTCTATCCACTTCCGTGGAGCTTCGAAGCATCGAACCAAGAGATCCCTCCTAAGACAGATCCGACGGGACTCCTTCTGTCCCTTTCCCACAGAGCTTACGATTACATCCAGGAATATCCAAGGGGGCGTAATCCATGTGAAAGTCATTCCTCCGATCTCCAAACGCCACGGGAACAAGCGGTGTATTATACACGCGAGAGTGTCGTTTCCACGATAACGGGCAGCCCTCGATCGATCTACAGAGAAACACACCGCAGGTTTGTTTGCGCAACGGAAACGCAAGAGCCGACGGTGAATTTTGTTTGCGAATTCCTGTTGCGTTTCTGTTGCGACGAGAACTGCAAGAGAATACTCGGCCGCGGATAATCGTTTATTTCGGCAGAAATTGCAACACCCGTTAATGTGTCTGTGCCCGTAGATCACTCGGAACCTGAGTCACGACCAAACTTAACTAACTCGCCCGACTTATGGTGAGCATCATTAGTGTGCTTTTCTAGGAAACCGTTTCTATACCACGCTCGTATTAACGACAACATCGGGGGATCGGTTACAGAGCACGTTTCAAATTTTCAATATTCGCTGCTTTTGATTTTTCAATTATATTTCCCGACGAAGTAGATCACGTTGCGTTGAATGGTCGCACGATATTTCAACATCTAATTATTAATAATCACCAAACGACCTCTTCTTCGTATTCCTATAGTCGATACAGTAGAGCGGTGGGCTTAACAGGCAATTGGCCAAGGTCTGAGTGAATGGCGGACACGTTAATATATCGAGCATCGTCCGCTAGACGAATGAAATCGAGCGTCGAATCAGAAACCGGTCCGTGTGTTCCATTTCCAACGGTGAATTTTCGAAACTTTACCATTTTGCCCAGGGATATTTGTTTCTTCGTGTACGAGAAACGGATAAATCCTGACGGTTCAAAGGAACAAATCCAAAGCAATACTACTCGGCCAGTAAACGCTGATAACGTTTCACTGACTAGCTGATAAGTCAATGTTCCTGTAATTGCGTTAACAGCATCTGTTACTTAATCCCCTGTCTATTAATGCTGATTTAACAATGCCGAATCCCAGCCGCGTGTAGGACGTGGATAAGCCGGCATTGCTGTTACGGCATCTCGAACAATTTGCAAGTTAGGACACGGTCGTTAATCGTGCGAATTCTGCGTATTCGTACGCCTGTTTGTGTTTGATTTCGCGCGCCCCCTCGCCGAATCGCGACGAGCTGAGCCATATTAATTAACTTACCGCGCCAGAAGGCGTGTATAGACGTTCTTTGAATTCTGCCCGAAATTCCCATCCGTTCGATCCCGTTTCGACGAAGAAAATTTGAATCAGCCGTTCACGGTAATCATCGAAATGAAAATTATTCACTGCTAATTCAATCCTATTAATGAGATTTCGCATGAAAATTGGCACTGTTTTGCAAACAGACTCGTAGCCTCCCGTTACCACGATAGCCGTTGAGTTGCATATTAAAGCATCGATGAGATACCACCGCGACACCATTTTACGGCGCGATAATAATTTAATTAAATTCACGCGTCGTTTTCACGGACTCTCCAATTGCATTAATCTCACCTGTTTCTCCTCGTTTCTTTTCCAGTCTGAATATGGGCTCACGGAGGATCAAGTGGCCGGTAAGTTAAATCCAACGACTATTCTGCCATCGTGGGTACTCGCTTACCGAGAAAATAAAAAGGTTTGCGGGTTAACGAGCGGGAATCGTGTTCGCTTACGCGGCTAAATACACACGCTGGCCTATTTCCGGTGCTCGAGAATCCGTCGTCTCGCAAATTAGAGCTGGAAGAAGCTGTTCACGATTTCTCGCCCGCAATGCCGCAAACTTTTCTAATTGCCCCACGAGTCCATCCCCCAAACCTCTTAGATTCCTTTGCAAAACACGAACGGTTCGCGATGTTTTCTTCCGTTGATTCCAGCTGGTTAGAATATTTCGATCCTTTTCCCGTCGTGTCTCGCGATCACGCGGGGGAAAACAGATTCGTGGAATTAAAATATTCAACGCCACACGTGGAGCGAAAAGGGTCGTTCAATTTCCGAAAGTGGCTTTACGTAAAGGACCCCGCTGGAACGTATTGCATAAAACATTGTGTTTCAGGCTTACGTGACCGCGATCGTTGGCCTTCCGTTCGCGCGGAGCGATTTCCTCGATGTCTAAGAGCTTTTAAATACGTCGCGCGAGCTTTTCACCTGCGGGTGGCACGCGACCAGAGATCGTCGATTGCTCACGCAGCCGTCACCGTCGAGGGAAACCGCCGAAAGAGAAATTGCCCGCTCGTTTATGCACATTAATGCATCGCCGGGTGTTTACGCGGTGATAAACGCGGTGACGGGAATTCAGGCCAATCTGCGCGGCGATACGATGCGATCAAACGGGCCACCCTCTAAAAACCTGGCAATTTCCAGCCCCGTCATGCGTTTCGTGGTCTCGACTCATAATACTCGAACGACAAATTGAAGCAATTAAGTTGAGCAGAATTTTGAATTCTCTGTCGTGGATAAATAAATATATTGTTATAATCCATTTTCCCTGTAATTAACACTAGAACTACCAACGATAAACGCATATCATTTTCGATCGATCGATAAATATGGCAAACTTTTGAAAATTTACAAATCTACAAATTAACTAATTTCTTTAATATCTGTAATAAAAGTTACGAAAGATCTGAGAAAATGGATTGTTATAACATTTTAAACATCGTTGTATGAATGTATTGACAAATCATTTTGACCTGCTTGGTAGTTCTAGTGTTAAACGACGAACCATTCTCAACGGATGAACGAACTCTATCGAGCCCGTGAAACAAATGGCAATTTTCAATCCCTTTTGCGAAACAACCAGTGAACAGTTGTTCGATGTTCCCCCTTTCCCGGTACAAGCTCTCGACCGACGTCCAAGAAATTTATAACAGCGTATCCCTCGCGATTGGCTACTTGCCCGAGCGATCTCAAGCTTAAGCTTCGTCTGCACGACTCGTGACGCGTGACTGCGACATGCACACGTAGTACACACGCACACGCGGTCCTTGTGATTAATAGTCATCCAAACCCACGAATTCTGAACAATGCGACGCCAGACAGAAGCCGTTCGGTTGTATATCGTTCTACTGCCAAATTTCCGACCAAGTTTTTCCACTGTTGTTATTTATGGCTCGGTCACACGAGACGATCTCTGGAGTTTCCTGTCACGCGACGGACCCGCCATTGGAAAACCCAGTCGCGTTCGAACACGGAGAGACAAATCACCGTGATGTTATTTTCGTGGTTCGAATCGAAAATCCCGTAGAAACGTAATATACTAAATCATCGATGAGTGTTCGAAGGCTCCTCGGCGCTGAGTGTTCAGTCGTCATCCCCACCACTGGACGCTTCAATCGTTCCACCACCGACGAGGTATAAGAATAGACCTTTCATCTTATGGGAGTTGGTAGCTCACCTAACTATCGACACCTTAAAAAAACCTGTGATTTTAGTGACCTCTACGTTATGAAAACGGTGAATCTACGGGGGTAGTGACACTGAAATGGAAATGGGGTGACGTTGCCCTAGAAAAGTAGCTCGAAGAAATGCATTGGATGAAAGATCTATTCTTATACTTCGATGGTGGTTCCACTAGAAACCTCATCCAAAGCCGAGGATACTTCGAACACTCGTCGATGATTTACCGTACTAAACGGAACAATTATTGGATTGATAATATTCATTGGAACGCGTGCCTAAGGAAATCTAGTAATCCAATACTGTAAAGAGCAAGATGGTATCGAAAGACCTTCATGCTAAACGGGTACGTCGAACGGTTTATCGTTTCAGAATTCAAAGAGGCGTTCATGCTCTTCGACAAGGACGAGGACGGTACCATCACAATGGCGGAACTCGGCGTGGTTATGCGATCTCTGGGACAGAGGCCGTCGGGTAAGTGAAACCTTAAATCATTCGGGGAACCGAGGAGATACGCGGAACGATCAGTGGACGCGTGTCGTCCGCGTGTATTCACCGTGTGGACGCGATCTGGCCGCGAGCCACGAGCTTGACGAACGCTTGCTCTCCACGTGGAGCCAAAAAAATATGTATAACGGTCTCCTAGCCGGTCCTATCGTCCATTAGCTACTAACGTCGAAAGCTAGTTCGTGAAATTCTATGCTAGTCAAGGGGAGAAGTAGGTGTGTGTGTGTGTGTGTGTCAAGTCTAGCCTCGTGTCGCCCTCAGGATCCGACACAGCTGTTTAGGCGTTTTCTTTTCAACTGTTCGAACAGTTTCAAGGAAATATTATGCACCCAAGGCCGGTAAATGCTGACGCGATCGAACAGCAGTAGGTCGAAAGTTTCGAGGGAAACGCAAACTCTAAGCAAAATAGGCCTCGTTAAATTCAGACGGCAGTTCGAAGGTTTTCCTTAAGACGAGGGCGCGGGAGTTAAATAAAAGGGGACCAGCATCCCCCGAAACTAGGCTGTGACAAGAGCTTAGGGAAAATTAACTTTCGGACGATTCTGTGCTAGAAACTGTGACAGGCAGGCGCACGTGCAAACGTAGGTAATTAACTGCATGTTGGCTTCTTCTGTCCTCGTGCTTCCTCCTCCCTCCCAGAGGAAGGGGATGTAATGGGAAATGAAATGTCTACCCATGAAACGACGACGAGCGTACGTACATTACGCGGTGAAATTAGAAAAAGGACACAGAGAAAATGACGGGTCGTTTAAATTCGCTAAGCGTAATTTCTCCCTCGTACGTTCGGATCTTCCCTCTAAAAAGTCCAACCAATTTCCCATTTCAGAGACGGAATTGCGGGATATGGTGAACGAAGTGGATCAAGACGGGAACGGTACAATCGAGTTCAATGAGTTCCTGCAAATGATGTCGAAGAAAATGAAGGGCGCCGATGGGGAAGACGAGTTGCGCGAAGCATTCAGGTATATCGAATCACGGTTTTATCGTAACGTCGCGAAGCATCGAGCAGGATTCTTAATTGATAATTCGTACCTGTCAGAGTATTCGACAAGAACAACGACGGTTTGATCTCGTCGAAAGAGCTGCGACACGTGATGACGAATCTCGGCGAGAAACTGTCGGAAGAAGAGGTCGACGACATGATTAAGGAAGCGGATCTGGACGGGGATGGGATGGTGAACTACGAAGGTACACTTTATTTCTCTATTTCAACCTCTGTATTCCTTTGAACGTTACAATTATCGTGTACAGAATTTGTGACAATCCTGACGTCGAAGAATTAGTTCGGTGGCCGTGGATCGAACGCTGCGAAGCTACGAACCTGCCGGAAGTCTTCGTCGAAGAGTCGAATCAAGCGAAGTTCCTCCCTGAAATCTTAAGGTGGGATCGCCCATACGTACCACCGCCATCGATTACAAACCTGAGGAATCGTGACTCGAAGAACAGTTGTTCCGGGGATAATCTCGGAACGACACGAATGAACGTTGAACCTTTTTTCCAAAAATTTCGTTCCGCAACGAAGGACGTCGTTCAGCCAATCTATTGGTGCATGGCTCTCTCTCTCTCTCTCTCTCTCTCCCTCTCTCTCTCTCTGTCTCTCTCTCTCTCTCTCTTTTGCTCACACTAGGAGGGTAAGTGGGAATGGAAGAAATCGTGCGATTGGGTTGGCGGGCGACATACGTAACAGAGAGGCTATCCATAAAAACAAGGACAAGCTCGAAGAGAGAAGGAGAGCGCGACTTCCGAAGTTGCACACGCATACACGCATTGTACACCTCGCTCCTTCGAATTAATTTTACAAATATATAAGCTAGCGAACACGACATTACGCGTGAAACCGAGTGAGGTGCGCTCGCTCCCGAGAAACAATCAACTGAGCTTTGTTTAGCGTTTACCTACCTACATATACTCTCTACTAGCGCTATACAACATCGTTATTGATAATTGTTAGGTACCAATGAAACTTGTATCATCGCTCACCATGCCAATTCACGCGATACTTCTTTCGGAAGCGGATCTTCATCGACGACACTTATGTATGTACTCTAAGATAGCACAAACCATATTGTCTCGATCTCGTTTATAGCATCGCGTACATCCGTTCGGTCGCGAAACGATCGAGACACCCGTCGTTCCTTTCACTTCGACGGATCTACGTCGGTAATTGTTCCCTTAGTTTCGTAGTAAGTACTCGCTTCTAAACAAGACAAATCCTCTACCCGACGTTCTGTCATTAACATTCTGACCGCGTGTACCCGACGCGAAATAGCCCCTATAAAAGATCTGTCTTCGAATCTAGATGAATGTCGTTAGCCAAGTAGAATTAGGGGTAGTTCTAACGATGATACACTCGTGGCTGAATTTTTAGACGCATTTGGAGCAACCGATCGCGAATGCAAGATACCGATGCAACTGTAGCGATTTGTTTTTTTTTTTTTTTTTTTTTTTTTTTTTTCGAAAACGTCCAACAGCAACCACACTCGATGATTTTCCAATTGTTTTTTAGTTTGCAATCGTTGTTGTGTTCGATATTTCTTTTTCGATGCTCGAACGACGAGACGCGATTCTCCTAACTGTGGTACCACTTTTCTTGCTACAGTCGAAACGAATTGGACCGTGCCTCTGATGGAGGTACTGGATCGATCGACAATCTATGGAGTTTCTTCGTGCGGGTCAGTTCAATTAGTCCCGATTTCTAGCCAAAACGCGAGCATAGATCTTCACCCATACCAAAGCTCCAAACGCGAAAACACCGTCCACTCGAAACCTTGACACCTCGATCACATCCATCAGGCCAACTATACTTACGTCGTGCACCCTTTTAGGTCCTTAAAATAAGCGAAGCCACAGCCGTAGATCGCGATAGAGTGTAGCTGTTAGCGCCTAGCGGAAATACGTACACACGTAAAGTAAATGATGCATTATACACATACCTATTATATATACCTGTACATGGTGTTACTACCGAGAGATACTTGAAATACCGTTATTATGGATATTCATATTCATATATTTAGTATATACTTATATACATACATACATACGAACATATGTTATATATACATATACACGTTAGCGACGTACGTCGGTGGTATACTGGCATTGGTATTTTTATGGTTTTAAAAAAAAAAAAAAATAATACAACAAGAACAACAAATATTAGTGTCAAAAAGCGAGTAAACGAGAGCGCGAGAAAGAACGAGCGAAAGTGTGAGAATGAGTGAGAGAGAAATCGGAGTGAAAGAGACCGAGAGAAAGAGAAACTGGCTGGCTGATCGAAGCGCGGCAGAGATACGCGAGTGTGCATAGCGAATACATTCAGGCAAGAGAGAGATAAAGAAGAGGGTGAGGGATATAAAAAAATAAGATGAGCTGTTAATCGTTTTAGAGAGGATTCCGGTTCGTCCTTAACACGGATTCGTCGACGGACAGCTGGCGAACATAGCTTATTGTTATCGTGGGTAAAATCGGTCACACGAACCGATGATTTCACAAATACACTTAGGTACACAATTACACTCACATATATAGAAATAGACAATAATTCTGTTCTTTGCTTAGGCGACACACATACAGTTACATTGCGTTGTTCGGTTCGACCGGTGGGTAAGATACATACGTCGGAACAGCGATATCGAATTGTTAAGGATGAAGGATATCTTGGGGGAATACGACGTACTTACCTAATATAACGATCGTCCTTTTTGCGGCTGCATCGCGACCTCTGTCTTACGGTAAAAAAAATCTAACACGATCTCAGAGAGAAAAGTCTTTCCTTCGTTTCGAGTACATATTTCCTTTCAGATCAGGGCATATTTATACGACATACGGTCCCTCTAATTATCAATTAGAGACCAACACAAATTATGTATATGAAAATTTACGTTGAATCCACGACCGCCCGACGTCGACGCGACGTAATTGGAAACAGGCCGCGAGTTGTGCAGCTACGAAAAGGAGATACGTACGATGAAACGGGCAAACATATACGCAAACGTTAAACAAAACGCTTCGACAGTTGCAAACATAAAACGAGCTCGACAAGTCGAAGGAAAAATAGTAATATATAACGTCCCGAAGACAATATCTTTAACGATTTTATTAAAGGATGCTAAATCGAGATTAACCTCGATAGGAAGGCCTACGTTTTGCCATGTGAGTCCGACATGATAGATTGTAAATGATTGTCAGGGTGTAGGGAAATGGATAAGGCAGAGAATATGAGAGAGTTCACGATACAGGAATTACGAGAAATAGTGTGCTGTTTAGCTTACAATTAGACACCCGTTAACATTCTTTCTAGTCTGTCCCCTTTTGCTTTCGGCTTCACCGAGAATTACCGCACTGTCTCGTTTCACAACTGTTTCATCTTTTTCAATTTCTATATTTACTTCAGACACATCTCGAATTATTACCTTATTGTTTTCTTTCAGATTAATTCATACCATTGCCCGAAATTTCACTGCACCCCATGAACGTGTTCCGTTCGATCTATTACAGTTCCCAAAAAGAGAAGCAAACCTTATATCCGTAAGTTTATCGACAAACGCTAGAACACGAGTACAAGATAACGTCAATACATGTATACCTATATCTTTTCCAAAAAAAAAAAACAAAAAACAGAAAAATCGTGCGAAGTACCGAAGAGCCCGCTCGAATTCCCAATGCATCGGACACGCAAGGAAACGACACTTGCGAACGTGATGTGTCCATCGAACGTGCATTTTTAGTTCGCAACCGGACACAGAAACGCACACTTGTCACGCGCGCTTGTAATAGGTACCTCTTTCATTAATATAGATTATACGGGTCCGCGGGCTCCTCGATCACGTGCGCACGTTCTTCGAATCGATTATACATAAAATACATATATACATACATATATATCTATATTTGCCCGACGGCAACGGGCTCTCACGCGGCGATGAATTTACCCGTTATCCTTCGGTCCTATCCCCCGACCCCTCCTTTTTTTTTCTTTTCTCTTTTTTTCTTTTTTTAACAGGGGGGGAAACCTTGAAAAAGGTGCATCGTCTCCGATGGGAGTGGAGACGGTCAATGTGGGATTTCACCCACTAAACACCCCCCCCCCCCCCCCGGCCCCCCACGTAAGGGCTGGCAACGGGTACGCTCGGCATGCACCGCGACCAGCCCCGCATCCCCCTACCCCTTTGGTTAACCCTATCAGACCTGAACGCAATCTATGTGATATCATGTATGTAATTCGTTTCTTCGAAAACGGTTCATTTCGTATCCACCGTCTGGTTCAATAACTCGCATTTTTGCGCTGGAAACTTCTAATTCTGTCCATTGAATCGTCCCGAAGGGTCTGAGACCTGTTAAACCTTGACACGCAGAGATGTCCTCGAGGTAATAGTAACGAATGGATCGCAACAGTTAACGATTCTGTCAGGGAGGAAAGAAGGGTCAAAGGACAACTCTGCTGGGTGAGATGTGAATCGACCCTCTGGACGCGTATTTTTATAATATAAACTTCGAACCAGATCCTATGATATTATACATTGGAATACGTACGATATCAACGCGTCATATGTATTACCATTATGTTTATGCCATTGTAATACGCGCGAAACATATACCTACATTGTACACCGTCTTATTCTGCTGGCAGATTTCATTGTAGTCATCGGCCCCGCGTATCGAACAAATTAGCAAGTTTTTACGCGTCACAATCGATCACGTGGACGTTCTTAAAAGGAGAATGCAAGTCTTCCGTTCGATCTACGCTATTCGAGACTCGAGGACGGATTATTATACCCTCGAACACTATATCGCTTGTTTTAACGCATAATTGTTTCCCGATAGAGAGTTGCTCAAATCGATATTCCGTAAGTCTTTTGATAAATCGGAGCGATCGGAATGTTGATTCGTCTGATCGTGCATTGGAAATCTGTGGATCAGATTCACCGGCGAGGAAATAGAACACTCGCGAAGACTAACTTGTTCGAGTTCGTAGGAAAAATTTATACTTTATTTTGTAATTTCTTTGGACAATCGTGAAAAGGCTAGTCTTCGTCGGTGTTTCGTTCGTATCGCACCCATGGTACCGCGATCTAAAGCTCCAGAGAGACGTATACCAACGCGAAATGTTCGAGGTAGATAACGCTTGTATATATGCACCTTACATACGTGACACATTCATATATATATATATATATATATATATATATATACACGCGACCTTGTTTCTACCTATGTTCTTAAACGATATTTCCAAGAAATTAGCGCGACATTTTGATACGTTGACGAGCTGACTAGAGCCGAAATTGTTACCGAAGAATTCCGCAGGATATCTTCTTCTCTTTTCGAATTAAGGAGTCTTAGGGAATATATATATATATATTTTCGTCTCCATTCTTCCTTGAATCCTACGCAATTACTACGGCGAGAATTATTTCCGTTCCGGTGGACTCACAGCGATCTAATGTCCGTAAGCTCGAGTTTGTGGAAACGCGTGTGCTGGTAACTGTCCAAGAACAATCTCAATCGGACGCGTATCGAGAATGATCAAGGATCGCGCGAAAAGAACAGGGGAAACGGCAACTAGTTGATATCAAACGTGTTAAAACGACGGAGAAGTAATCAAATAATTGTACGTACGCTGCATAAATAATGAAAAGAATCTTGATTAACTTAGATGTGTAATAGTTGTAATCGTTGAATAAGTGTAACACTACGTTGTAGCGATCGCGAGAGTGTCTCGGGCAACAGGAAGTTCTTCTGCCCCGAAGAATTCCGGAAGTATTGTTAGAGCGGGACGGTACCTCGAATCGATTGTCTGTCAGTATAATCAAATGTGTCTACGTTTTGCATCCGTTGGTTGGCGTTGTTGTTAAAGAGTATCCGCGCTTCGCGATCGAGATCGAGAAACGATTACCGAATGCAACGGTCGACGAGAAAGGTTATCAATCGCGTGAATCATTTATCAACAGTCCAGCTGTGCTATGTCACCGAGAGCGAAGAACATTGTATGTAATTACGAATTGTTGAAAACGGCCGCGAGAAAAACAAAAAAAAAAAAAAAAAAAAAAAAAAAAAAAAGACCTCCGAACGAATCTAAATCGTTCGTGTCCGCGAGTTCCTTGATTTGCCGTGATTACTTTCTCGCTTCTGCCGTTCGAAACGGTTTCTTCCCTCTTATACTCGCTACCTGCTATCGCGAATTCTCGCCTAAGTTTGCCTAATATGAAGCGGTCTAACGTAGTAGCATTGCAAGGGTAGGCAATACAAATACCATATATCGTTAATAACTGCGACTGGGTTACGACGCTGGTCAGGAATAATTATTGTAATAAGAAAACCGTCTTTCATTACTTTATTAAAACGATCACGAGTACAAGTCGTTGTTAGTTAAAGAGAAATATACGCGTGTGTATATCCGGCGCAGGCAAGCTAAAAGAAGAGAGACCCGTTCGATATGTATATGTATATATACGTATACACACACACATAGGTCTTTGGTTTTTCGTGGAGTGCAAAATATTATTCTAACGTGGATACGGCGTAGAAACGTGGGGACAAACGCGTTAAGATTGTAAAAAAGGATGAAAATTATCTCTTTGAGACGTACTAAGCAAACAAACAAAAAAAAAAAACTATAGGGTAAACACTAAGTCAAGCGAGGTTACACCAGAGATATCGCACAGTGAACGAGAATATTTATATTTTTACTTGAGGAAAAAAAAAAGTGTTATCATAACGTTTGTAACGTCTAATTCCCGACCGGTAAGGAATGTTTATAACGTTATTTTTCTAGAGTATATACGTAACAATTTATTATTGTGTTATGACGAAACGTGCTCTCAAGCGACAAACAGTCGAGATCCATTCTAGATGCAAGTACGTACACGTGTATTTACTCTTTATAAATATTCCGTTCGCCTCGATTGTTTTGCATTGTCATTGCGAATTTCTCTATAGGTAGCGTACAGTTGAACGTATTACAGAGATGCTATGCTATGGTACTTTTGAATCTTGAAACTGATGTATGTATTCCCGCGGTGTTCATTACGTGTTTACTATTATAAATATCATTTACTTGAATAGACAGGAATACGGGGTACGATAGAAAGCAAAGAACATTCTAAGGCGAAACAAGCTCTTTACTTTCGCTTCATAGGTACGTTCTTACGCTCGCTTCGAAAGCGATTGGTACAGGAAAGACGAGACACGAAAAACGCTCTCGGTTAGTGATCATAAAACGTGCATACACGTGCATCTTGAAACTTTTCTGTCGAATATCTATTCTACGACCATTTCTTAAAACGATTCCTTTGTACTTTATCAACGACCTTCTGTTTTCTTAACTGCGGTACCTGCGATCGAGGGTTCTTACTCAGATTTTCTCCATTCACGTTTCGTCGTAAGGTGGCAACAAAACAAAAAAATGGAAGTGCTGGAAACTGTGGCGAGAGTGCAGTATGTGTGGTATTAACTGTATGAAACCATGTTACGTGTAATGCTATATACTGTAAGAGATTAGAATACAAACATAAAATGGTGATGGCGCGTGTACTGCTGGAATGTAATACATGTATCGAGTTACCCATAAATACAGCCATTTTATAATGGACATTCCTCGCTGGTCTATTTTCCTAGGTTTCTCGTAATATTTGACGAACAGGTGTGTCGTGACGTATTAACGGTAAGCATGATAAGTGTCTGACTTAGAAATTCTTTATTAACAGAAAATTTAATACAATCATCCATACAAATTAGCTTCTTAGGAGTATCTTAGCGCTACGTCATATCAAATCAATATCATCCCCATCTTATACTGTTACGAAAAAATTGAAAATTCCTCAATCCTAAAATACTTTGTCCAAGAAGCGATCGATCTAACTAAGGAAAACAATCGATCTATAGCCCCTCCCCTCCATCCACCACTCACTCACTCTCGCACTCAGGGGTTTCCACCGTGCGTTACGAGCCTTTGTTTCTTCTGGTAGGAAAAATCTCATGACATGTAACTACATACTAAAGTATCAGACGGTCACCGTCATAAGAACAACCCTCGGTTCCCAAACACATCATGGAATCGATACGCACAAAGTGCAGCACGACCAAAGATCGTTCACCGCAATCATTGTATCAAAGCTAAGGTGGAAATTAAACTTCTTCGATCATACAAATCGATACTCTACAATGGTTCACCTATGGATGGGTGATTTCTTTTTTTCTTTTTTTTTTGTGTAATGTTTACTCAGCAATATTTTATAAACCGTATTAAGTAGTTTACTTATAACATATATAACCAGAAATATTGACACTGGGAGATACCGCGATCTGTGGCGTTCATTCGTAATTGCCTTTGCAAAACTGCTACCGTTCTTTGCATTCAGTATGAAAGGAAATACAATATACAAAGCACACGTTATGTAAAAATAGAATAAAATCTACTATTTTCGGTCGCGAAACTTGTACGAAGGTTACGATTTATACGTGTTTAATCAATTCTTTACAGTTCAAAGTTCAGATAATACATATACGTGTATGGATGTGTGTGTATATATATATATATTTGTTTTTGGTAGTGGCATGGGATGTTACGCTGGAAATACATATATACTTTTTCTTAAATAATTAGCCTGAAATTGACCGCAGAATTTTTCGTCCCATTTAGAATGTACTAAATAACCGTTCAATTAGGCGAGAATACTATATAAACGACAAAAAGAATGCTAGACTTTCGTATAACGTCGATCAATAATTTGATTTAATAATACAACGGATTTGGATTGCATCACTGTAAAATAACTAACAAATTGTGTAACCAAAATTATATAAATCTAGAGATCCAAATATTTTAACTATAACGTTAAAGTTCATCCCTGAGTAATGTGTACCTGTTTTTACTGGGCGCAAGTTTCTTGAACGTGGATTCCGGTGGGGTGGTAGGCACTTTAATTTGTCCAACAATTTGTGGTAGTTCATTATTCCTAGAGTCTGGACCATAGTGAAATTCTCGATGCAACTTCCCCGAATACAAATCTTTCAGGAAAGATTCCAGTTTCCCCTCCACATGAATATCATGGAAGCTTGGAAACAGGTACATATGCCTAAAACTATCTATAGCGATCAAAGGCAAATCAGTTGGTGATTTTCCCAAATGATGGAGAGGATGAGCAAATTTCAAACCATCTGCTGTTAAGAAATTGACATTTTCTGAAAAAAAAAACCAAGATTTCTCTGCTTTTAACCAAACCCAGACCGTACAATTTCAAGAATTAGAATCTATGATCACGGCTTACGTTTTTCAGTTATTAATGTTTTCGTCACTACATCTTTGTACATTTTTACACTCTCTACATCATCAGGAGCATGAAACAGTATGAGAAATGGTAAACCTTCCTCTGTTAATTCTTCCGCATTTTCAAACGTAATTTCTCTCACAAGGGGAACACATTTTTCTTGTGCCCAAACGTTTAATTCATCAAAGTTATTTAAACTGCCGTGGTATGTTTCATCCTCGTCATTAGAAAGCGCTTTATCCGAATTGTAATTTTCTTTCGTTTTTAAATATTAATTTAAGCAGTTACACTCCACAAGGCCTCATCAAATAATATATAAAAACAAATATGATGAGAGATGATGCAGATAAACAATGTTGCAACTTTAAACAAATGTGCAAAACGCAAAGGTCACCTACAAAGTTACTTACAGCAAGTGAAAATGCTCTCCAATGTCGCAGTTTTGAGCTGAGCAAGTGCTTGTTAGAGGAAATCACGTAACAATTACATACATGTATATTTTTTTAGTCTTTCAGTGAGATTGATTAGATAATATCAACAACTCTACAGCTAGTCTGTTAATTATTTCTTAAATATAAAGGTACAATGCTTACCCAAATCCAACATGAAATTGACAGTCATCTTTAAGATTGGTGGCAACTCTTCTAAACATTTCATACTCGGGAACATCCTTTCTATCAAAGTATCCAATGATCATTCGTTTTTTATCATCTAAATTAGTTAATTCTTTCAAATCATAGAATTCCTTGATTGGATCTTCCAGTTGTTTTCTTATAAATTCTTCGAATGCTTCCACAGACCTCTGACCTCTATATTCTCTCTTGGTTGGTTGACCATTTCTTATAACTTTCAATGTTGGATACTTGGTAATATGAAACCTTGAAGCAATAGAAGCTAAAACAGAATAGTTTCACTTAGAAAATTTAATTGAATCAATACTAATCAGTGCTTATAATCACAATTATATTAATATGAATTTAAGTTCTTGTTTTCACAATTTACTCACATTCCCTATCACAATCCACTTTTGCCATGACTACCTTCCCTGGTTCAGGAAATGCACGTTTTATCTTAGTTGCAGCTTCTTCAAAAATAGGAGCTAATAAGTTACTAAAACGGCACCATTGTGCATAAAAATTTATAAATACCAATTCATTTGAAACTAAAATCAAACAGGAACAAATAAAAATACGTTTTTTTAAATCTCCGAGTAGGTCATGTGTATTTATATGTGACGTTTTTTTTTATAGAATCATAACTTACCAAGTGTCATATCAATATTTTGTTGAGTAAGCGATACCGCTCCTTCGTTTGCATCGTTCGCTAAACTGTTTGGCAAAAACGCCTACAATAAAGGAAGTACTTTAACACGTTACTTATCTTTAGTTTATGCTAGAACTTCACTGATTACCGAAAATCAACACACGCAACGATCAGAATCAGCAGTGCATGACATATGGGTTTAGTAATTCGATTGATAAAAGGTAAATTAGAACAAAGTAGAATTGGAAAATGTATTTTTATTATCCAGTATGATCTCTTAGGGCATTTTGGATATGCAATGTCAGCAGTGGCGACTTTTGCATAACACCGATTGTAATTACTGCATACAGTTTGTTAATAAATTTCAATTTTTGTCCAACCCGCATAACTTTTAGGTTATTTCGTGTGTACGTGTATAGGTTATGCCGCTATTTGTCTAATGAAAAGAAATCCAAGGTCCTTAAAATGTGATCACGCTGAATGTGCTCTAATAACGGGGTACAGTCTTTCTGGAATTCGTAAGTGCCCAAATATGTGTCATCGTATGTACCGCTGGCGGTTTGTAAAAGATTCTGTCACTTAAATTTTTCATTTTCTGTCGATAGAATGGCGCCTTATAAAATTCTAAATATTACTCACCAATAGACATGCAAATATGAGTACTTTGAAGTCGAAAATATCACAGAAAACCAGCATCTCGTGATCTCAGAATACAAACTTGATCAAGCAATAAGTTTTTCAACAACCATCAGTAAGCAGCTGGCTCTGCATCAAATGCCACGAATTTGTAGTACATCGAAACCTAGTAAAATATTTCCGAGACAACGATTCCGCAGGCAGCCTGAAGTGTTACTGAAAAACACTATAAGTCGAATGGAGCGAAAGTACTCGTATCGAATGTCGAGTATCGACCTGTGTAATAGCTTGGTAACAGGGGCGATAGAACCCCCGGAGCATGCGTAGGAGACCTCCTGTCTGTTAGAATATAAAATATTATTATAAATATATTGTAAAATCGTATACATAAGTTGTATTTAAGACAATTATCGTTATTTTTAAACAATTACGGCTCTAAATTGTACATTTTCCAACCATTTCTTCAATAAAAAACAGGTAAATGTTACATAAGCGTTGTTTACTGAGCCTATCACTTCCTCTATCCTATATTTTCCATTAATAAACAAGTGGTAGGGGCGCCACTAAATGTCCCATAAATTCCCCAATTTTTCCGTCACATTTATGAATCCAAGATGGCGGAAGACCGGTGGGGTCACAGAACCCCGTAGGTTTCCGCCATCTTGGATTTTGAAAAAACGCGGGAAAAATTGGGATTCATGGGACATACTAGTGGCGCCGCCAAAAAAGTGGGTGGCGAAAGTTGGAACTAAATCCAGAACTTTTTCGATCGTTCGCACAGTCGCCACCAGATGGCGCTGCTTAAAAAGTTTTAGATTTAGTTCCAACTTTCGCCACCCACTGTTTGTGGGGGCGCCACCGTACTGCAGGTTTTTCCGCCATCTTGGATTTTGAAAAAGCGCGGGAAAAATTGGGATTCATGGGACATACTAGTGGCGCCACCAAAAAAGTGGGTGGCGAAAGTTGGAACTAATTCTAAAACTTCTTAAGCAGCGCCATCTGGTGGCGACTGTGCGAACTATCGAAGAAGTTCTGGATTTAGTTCCAACTTTCGCCACCCACTTTTTTGGTGGCGCCACTAGTATGTCCCATGAATCCCAATTTTTCCCGCGCTTTTTCAAAATCCAAGATGGCGGAAAAACCTGCAGTACGGTGGCGCCCCCACAAACAATGGGTGGCGAAAGTTGGAACTAAATCTAAAACTTTTAAGCAGCGCCATCTGGTGGCGACTGTCCGTACTATCGAAGAAGTTCTGGATTTAGTTCCAACTTTCGCCACCCACTGTTTGTGGGGGCGCCACTAGTATGTCCCATGAATCCCAATTTTTCCCACGCTTTTTCAAAATCCAAGATGGCGGAAAAACTTAATTTTTGGTTAATTGATATTAGGAATAGGAGTCGAGATAGTGCCGGGATTAATGAATAACGCATATGTATGATTTGACTGCCTTTTATTGAAAAAATCGTTCGAAAATATACAATTTACAATAGTATTTCTATAAATTTAACAATAATCGCCTTAAATACAACTTTCATATATGATTTTACAATATATTTATAATAATATTTGTATAGATTCAATAAAAGTGCCCTTAGATACTTATTTTACGTAAATCCTACTTATCTACATGATTCTACAATATACTTGTAATGATATTTATATAAATTCAGACAAAGTAGACTTAGATAGTATTGAGGCTTATAAAATATTGTAACTTATATGCCGCAAATATTAACCTTCTCTGTAAATGGCAGACGGCCTGCGCGATGTGAGCGTGGGGTCACGGAGCCCCCGGTGGAGGCGCTAAAGACCCCGTGTGTGTGAGGAAATGAGGGCATAGAACCCCCGGAGCATGTACAAGAATTTTGAAACGTGATCCCTTATCATTGTTGCTCGTACGAGTCTCGAGCTCGGTCTAA